TGGATCACTGTCATCTACAACATTCTGAGTGTGGCGGCTGGATTCAGCTCGCTGACTGGACTCAGGAGGCTGAGGCCGTTGAGTTAGCAATTCTCTCATTTGTTGGATAGCTAACTTCATCCCTGTCTTCATCTCAGCTCTAATTTCTTCACGTTGCTTCGCCAGAGCTTCTTGAAGCATTTGAGCAAATTGATCAGAGGTGATCGTGAGTACTTCTCTGGTTTGTCCCGTGCTAGACATTGTATCATCAGAAGCGATTGCAGAACAAGTGTCCGAGAATTCATCCTCCGAGGACATTCCTTCTTGCATTCTCTTGTAATCTCTGCGTCTGATGGCTCCTAATTGGAGTCGAGACATCCTTTGAGCAATTCTTGGATTGACTTTTTCTCTCGGGAAAAAGTCGGGATTTGAGTCACTTGAATGTTGCTTAGACTTTCTTTTATCAGCCACGTTGATGGTGACTTCAGGGAATTCATCATCTTTGGCAGCTGATTTTCTCTTGCGGAAATGTCTCGGCTTAGGCTTCGACATTTCAGTAGAAAATCTCTGGAACACAGAAACTTTCGGCGGAATGGCTTTAAAGTAGTTGCATTTGGACAACACTGCTTTGATAAGTTTTTCACATACACAATGACGATTCGTTTCTCGAACAGTCCTTTTATGTGATTTGTTTCCACCTTTAGTTTGATAGTACAACTCGTCAGCATGGTGACTAGAGCAACCTATCTTCTGTTTTTGTGTTTGAACCTTGTTAATATACTCAGGATGACTTGTCGTCACCTCTGAGCGATCCAAGGTTATGTCAAGAGTCATACGTTTATAACCACCCCCTTGCGGGTGTGGAGCCTTAACAGGCTCCGTATGCTGATTTTTCACAACTCCAGACTTTGGAATCCAAACTTGGCAGAGTTTCGGTGGTTCTTTTGCCACAGTTCCCTTCTTCCTTTCTCGTCTTTGTTGTAAGAGAGCACGGGCATAAGCAGCGTTTGCACGATGTTTTTGTATACGTTCTTTGAGGGTCGAACGAGCCCTTTTGACAATAGTCCATTCCTCCGTCGTGAGTTTAGCAGAGACATGAGTGATTGGTCGTTGAGACAACTGAACCACTCGATGCCTCCTCGACTCTAAGTCCGCATGATAACGAACTCCGTCGGGTTGTTCCAAGGCCTTAGCCATTTGGCGAGCGCGGC